TTAATACTTTGCTATGGAGCATTTTAGTAATTTGCACCTCATCTTGTTGTAGTGTTGCATTAGAGATCCAGTAGCATAGTTTTTATCGCTGTGATATATTAAAGTTCAAAGAAGTGTGCATCACATGCTTTCAGTGTTGAGTCGAAATTCATGTTTGTAACTGTCCAACAATAAGAAAACAACATGGTTAGAGACGTCAAAAGTGCCTCGAACCAAAGACCTCTTTTCCTTCCATCTCCAGCTACACTCGAAAGTAATTTGTGCACCTGTGTGGTTGTTAGAAAGGCTTGTTTTCTACCAGCACCGCCGCATTCTTATTAAATGTCCTCAACTACATCTGTGATCGTTTTCACGTGCGCTCACAGAGAATGGAACAAAAGGCACCAACATCCAAAGAGGAGCAGAAGCAATGACAGGATCTGCTGTCTGTGAAGCCTTTTTAAATCTAAAGTCACATCAGTTTATCCCACCATGGGAAATAACCCCAGAAGGCCCTTTAAACAACCCGAGGTGCACCTAAAAGCACCGTGAATCGTAAATAACCATATAGGTGCGCAAAAATATTTCCAGGGTAGCCGGCGTGAACTTGGTGATTCGAAAGCGGTAAGTGGGGCTAACCGGAGGCGCTTTCACCACGCCACAAACGAAAAAACAAGTCAGATTATCAAACCGGAAATAGCCGGCGTGTTTATGGTTTATGCTTTTATAGGAGCCGGTGTACGTGGAGAAGACACGGCCATGTGCTAAGCGGTCTTATGTGGAAACAAGGTGAACGTCGTTCTGTGTAGCGCGACCAGTTTACACCTGAGAGACGAGCCTCCTGGGCGGTTGCTATGGTGATGGAGTCAGATAAACAGACTCCAGCTGTAAACCAGTGTCACCGCCCGCACGATCTGATATCGTCGTGTTGGTGTTGTTGCAGGATCAACACTGCAAGTGACCAATCAGAATGTTGTGACGTAATGCCCTGGCGACTTCGGGAAAAACCGCCGTAAAACAAAAAACTGTACTTAAGCTGCGAGAAACCGCCTCTGTCCGCCGATCACCGGACCCTGAGCCTTTAATAAACGCTGAGCAGAACTGATGTTGTCCTTGCAACACTGGAATTTCATAAATGCACGAATGTCTCGGCGCGCCAAAGAATAACGTCACAACAACGTGATTGATCACTTGCAATGTTGATCCTGCAACAACATTTACTATGTTTATGTTTTACTACGACGATATGAGATCACCAGTGTAGATATCGATACAGGAGCCGTGTCCCACAAGTCCCGCTCACCCCCCCCAGGAAGTGATTAAAACACGCAGTGTTTAAAAAACTTTTCAACAAGTCAAACACAGTTTCAGGCTCACTCTGATCTGTTTCACCCACCCTTCACCGAGTCACGCAGGCTTTAAAGACGGAGTAAAACACTGTGATAAGAAGCGCAGGAGAAAGCTGAAGTAACACTCACCCCGCTCAGGCTCGACGT